CGGCGGAAGCCTGTGGGGCGAGGGCCCGGGCTGGGGCGGCCCCGGAGGGGGCTGGTGGGGGACAGCGGGGCCGTGCCTCTCAGCCCGTCCCCTGAAGGAGCCTCGGCGGCTGCCGGAGCCGCAGCGGGGATAGGCGGCGGGGGGGGCGGCAGTGGGGAGAGCCGGGCCGTGGCGGGTTTCGCCCTTCCCTCACCCCGCCTGTGCCAGCCCCTCTGAAGGACAAGGCCAGGTTCCTCCTGCCGAGCCCCTGCTCTTCGAAAATCTGCCGTCGTCTGGGCTGCCACCGGCTCGCCTCCCCGCCCGAGGCTGGCTCTGCGGCCAGCTGCCGGGCAGCCTGGCCCCAAACCGGCCGCGTCTGTGGGGGGGCGGCTGAAACCTGCACGGGATCAGCCTCGAGGGGCATTGGTACAGCATAAGTCGTTGATGTGGCTGTAGTTTGGATGTGGCACCCGTTCATCAACTGCGAATTGACGGTTTCGGTAGGATTGGATTTAGACTTCGATGTACGTGCTTTGTTGGGGGGAGGGGAGGTTTGCTCTTCGGGTCGGGTCTGAGCTATAGCTGGTACAATGCTGGCTTCAGTGTGTATCCCGGAAAGTGTGGAAGAGCTGCTGTGACACGTCCTGAATGAGGTATGCATACAGCGTGGTCCTTATTCAGGCACTCGGGTACCTCCATGAGTTCAGCACATCCGCTGTCACGTTTTCTCCTGTTCGTCAAGGGCTGGCTGGCCAGCCTGTGACTGGTGAGTCCCGTGGGGCTCTCCGGCTGTTTGGAGGCAGCTGCCGTTCCAGGCCTGCAGTCCGTGGCTGGACTTAAGAGCCCAAATGCCCATGGGTGGATTGAGGCGAGCCGTGGGGACCTGCTGCGGTCAGTGTTGCTCAGTCCCACGCCATCGGCAGCAGTGGGATTTCCCAGGGAGCTGTTCTGGTGTTCGGCTTCTACGCAGGGCCTCCTCCCTCTCTGCGCTCTCTCTCTCTCGTAGGCACAGCGTGCTGTGTTTCTTCTGTTGCAAATGGAGATGCTACGTATTAAAATCCGAGCCAAAAGAATAGCCAGCTGTCATCACCCGTCCCCACCTGGCCACACACTTCTGCTATTCACCTTTTGTAGGCTTTGGTGCTTGTCTGACAATATGAGAAGCCAGTTTGGTACACTAAAACAGTAAAAGTCCATCCAAAACCCCCGAGACTTCTTTTTTGCTGTTTAGCAAGATGATGTGGTCTAAGGCTGATGCAGGGGAAGGGATCAGAAATCATTCAGGAGTGGGAATGGAGTCTGTGAAACAGATGGCTAGGCCAAGCTGAGCTGCTTTCACTCACTGTAACTTGTGGCTTCACACTCTGCTATGTGAAAGCTTTGACTTGTGGCTTGAAGAGTTAGGAAGTCTCTGCATCAGGAAAAAACAATCTGAGCATTGTTTGGCAGATGCTTTAAAAGAACCGGTTCAGCAAGACCATCTTCCAGACAGAAAGGACAGGGCGTTTCTGCCTTTCCCTGGCTAAGGTAGTTTGGGTTTTTTATCTAGGATACTTGCATATATATATATGTGCTTTTTTTCTGAAGTGGGCATTTTGTTACTTTGGGTATGCAAGCTAATGATCGTTATGGAGTTCAGTGTGTGATTTCAGAAATTTAAGTAACTTCCCTTGTCAAGTTGAGATATCTAACCAAAATATGAATGCGTTCCTTTGGTGTGCTACAGAAACCGCTCCTTAGTGCAGTAGTATAGCATGTTGATGATCAACTACAGAGCCATAGATTTGATAGTTTTTTTTCAGTGTTTTTGAAGCTGGTAGGGGAAATGATCTGTTTCTGAATGCTAATATAAGGCAAAATAATCAGTGTGCAGTCTCGATTGAGGAGAAGAAGTACCAGCCCTTGTCCTTCATTGCTTTTTCCTTTTTTCTTTTTGATAAGAGGGAGAGGAGAGAAGGAAAAAAAATGCTAGTACTTGTGTTTCGTTCTGACAGCTTTCTTGAATTTTGTAAAATTAGTTTGTATCGGATGTCTGAGTGCACAGATTACTGATGGTGTGAGATACCTTGCCACATGCCAGACCAGCAGTGAGAGTGCAAGAAAGAATCTACGTGACTGGAAAGTGAAAACTTGTCTTGAATAAAGAAAAGGTTACTTAGTGGCCTTTATGTGAGAGATTAGTAGTTTAGCTATGGTTTCTAACTGTAAGGAATCTCAGACAGGTATGCAATGCTGAATGATCGATCTGTAGCCTAAGGCAATGTGCGTTTACTTAAAAGCACTACTCACTAGTTTCTTAGCCTCAACTTTTAACATACCTAATTAAAACTTCGAGAGCTTAACTAGTTCTTTGGTATTTTGGACTTAGGGTTTAATGCAACTTTATGAAGATTCATGTTGTCTTTTACCTGTACATGGAGGATGTTAAGAGCCTGGCATAATGTCTCTTCTGAAAGATAGTGCTGTCAGCATCAGTGTGCTGTCTAGTGCTGTGTATCAAAATCAGAAGTAGAAATCAAAAAGAAGAAACTTTTTAACATTATCCCCATATTGCCAAAGAAGGCTGGGGACAGAATTTAGCTTAAGTTGCTTGGTCTTCTGATCTTTTTTGTGTAAAAATAAACAAACCGTATCTTAGGAGACTGTTACCTTAAGAACAAAAATGAAATCTTACCATGTGGAATATCATATCGTGTCGTGTCATGGGTATCTTTGACCTTAGGACCTGTTGATCTAGTATGTTTAATGGTGTAAGGGGATCACTACATGGAGAAATAAATACAAGTCAAGTGTAGAAGGAAAACCTTTCTCCCTCTTAAGACAGGCAGGTGGTGAAGCCGTTGCCCAGCAAGGCTGTGCAGGCTCTGTCCTTGGAGGTTCCAGGACCTGCCTGGAGAGAGTCCTGAGCAGCCTGCTCTGATGTCAGAGCTGGCCCTTCTTGGGGCAGGGACTTGGACTGGAGACCTCCCCAGGGCCCTTCCCTCCTGAGTGACTGCAGTGCTGTGGTTAAAAGTGTGATGCTTTTCTGGTTTTAGGGGCATTTGATAACTGCCTTTTCCTGTCTTCCTCGCCGCAGCTTACTTGTGGTAATCTTAGTCTGTTTCTTTGGGCTATCTCAGTTCCTTGCCATTGGTCGTCTTGTCTTTCTGTGGTTTTTGGTTCTCCAGCCTGCTGTTTTGTCCTGTTTGCCAGCTAACATTTCCCTCCAGCTGCTCCCCCACTTCTCATCGGGCTTTCTCTACTTCACTCGCCCCTGTTTCCCCAGCCCTTGGTTCTCTGCCTTTTGCTTGGCTGCCCTCCTTCCCTCCACTGGTTTTTCTACCCCTCCGTGCCCAGCTCGGTGCCTGGCCTTTGGCCATGCTCCAGTCCCAATAGACGGCTTCTTCCTCTGCTCTGCTTGGGCTAGCAGAGAAGTGGTTCTTCTCCCGTACTAGAGACACAGCTCTTTGCTCTCCGCTGCTGCGTTGCTCGTCTCCTGACAAGCTGCTCAAGAGCGCTCGCAGCCTTTGTTCGCCCACAGGAGTTTATAGCATGACTGAATTTGGGTGGACGTTTCTCCTAGCAGAAGGCACGCCTTTAACAGAGGTTTCTGTCCTCCTCTACATTGTGAAATCGGTTTCAGAATTGGCGAAACTTCATGCTTGCAAGTGGAATGGTGCCATATGTGTTTGTGAATGTATATGTTTAAGTACGAGAAGGCTTTTTTTTTTTTTTTTAATCTGTTTCCTGGAAAGTTTCAGTGAAGTGACCACCCTGTTTTCAAACAAGTTAGCAGGAAGAAGGTGTTCTGAGTTGTTAACAAAGTAAAATGTGAGATGCAGACAATTGAAATAGATGAGCTTTTGTCATGACAAGTGGCAGTGGACCTTAATTTATAGCTTCATGGGGGAGCTGGGTGGGGTTTACTGTTTTGTACTTTCAGTGCTGTGTTCTGTGTGGAAGAAATAAAAGCAGTAAATTGCAGTTCAGTGCTTTGTGGATAGTAGGGACTTAAATGTACTGCTACTAGTGCACCTAGGAACGGAATGAGGAGGAGGAATGGTTTTACGTGCAAAGCAGTGAAAATGTAATATATGGTGATGGAGCTTGGAGACCAAAAGTTAGTTACTGTATGCTTGAATGCTTTAGTAGTCATTTTTATTCCTCTTCTTCCTTTAGAATCTTCTCCCCATTTACCGGCACCAAAGGATGTGATGGTTTATTCCTATAACTTTCGTAGTTCACTGAGATGGTCTCCTGTTAAAGTGGATAGAGGCTTGGTGTTATATACAGTCCATTTTAAAACGTAAGTAAATAGATCTAAAACCAACCAAACTAATTTTCTTCTAATCCAGTAACACAGTTGGTTAAGAAAAAAACAAAACACCTAAAAATTAATAAGCAAATGAAAGAATGAGTTGTCTATTACAGATGCTTTTATATATATCTGAAAGCAGTTTCTGAAGACTGACAGTCTTTCAGCCTGTGATATTTCTACTACACTGAGCAAAGATTGAAGACCTGAAAAGCACCCAGAAAGGTTGCATAGTTTCCTGAATAATTTTAGCCTTACCGAATTCTCCCTCACTAATTTTAATTTCTCCCCAGATACTGAGGAGATGCAGGTGCTGAAAGGGCTGTGGAGTTAAACCCACATGAAAGTGGTAGTTTTGTAACATACTCTGTTGTTACAAAAATTGTCTAGGTGGGAGGGATTGTATTTTAGCTGGTTGCACTGTTCTGCTGATGCTATATTTGTCCTTTGTTTTGCATTGCAGAGGTGCCTTTAACCAGTGGGATGAGATGAACTGCACCCGTATCACCCAGACTGAATGCAGTTTCCCCTGGTCACTTAAGGAGCGGCGCTGGACTGTTGTTTTGCGTGTGAGGGCTGAGCTAGGGCAAGTTACTTCTGACTGGGTGGAAACAGATCCATTTGTGGCAGAGAGAAACAGTAAGTGCTATTTATGATTTCAGTATGTCTCTCTCAAAGGAGATTTCTTTGAAAAAAATGTTTGTTGTCCGTTCTAGGCTTTTTTGACTCTATTATGTACAAAAGCCAAGTGAGAGAATTGTAGGTGTTAGTTAACAAAGACTACAATGTCTCTGTGTGTCACTAGGGATTTGATACTACTTAGTTCCTCTGTAGTAGGGTTAGCAGTGCGCCCTTTCAACAGGTATCGAAAGAGGAACAGAGGAGTTTCCTTGGGTGGTTAAGTCTTATAAAAACTACGACATATATTATGTTAGAGAGTTTTCCATTTTCTTGTTTCCCCACTTAGCACTGCCGCATGCACACATACACCCCCCCTTGATTTGTGGTAGTCTGAGTACAAACTACCTGTTTCTGTTGAACAGATCCCTTTTCTCATAAATATAAACTGTCCTGACTGCATTGTAGAAGGGTCAAGGCACACTTTAAATCCTGTTAAAGGTCAGCAATGTGCTTGTTCACACATTTATAAGATCTGCTCTTTGCCTTGCTGTGATTGGTTTCAGGATTAGAAGAAAGTAGATGTTGAGTTTAAAAATACCTCTAAAACGATAACGAAGCAGAGGAATGGATATATTGACTCTTTAGTTCAAGATCTCCCATACCTTGTGAGGAGCAGTGGTGGTCCATGCTGCAAAGAGTATGATACTTTCCCTGGTGACTTCAGTTCTGAATCTTGGATTTTCTCTAGTGGTAAAGAGTGTGGGGATGAGGAACTACCCAAATCCCTAGCTGAAGATTACAAGTGATGTATCCATTGTTTGTGATGCAGGATTGTTTGGGAGTGGGATCCTTTGGGGGTTAGGAAAGCGCTTGGCTAATGGGAATACAAGACAAAGGAGAGGCTTGGTGTGGGAGAGAGAGGTTTGTGTGTCTGTTTCTTGGGGGAGAAAGAGGAACATTATGTGATCATTCTTGTGTGACTGCCCTCAAGATCAGTTCCTAGACAGCAAGACCATGGGCTACTCAGTCAGGCTGTTCTCTTCCTTTAATGTTTGGGTCTGTCCCACTTGAGAGGGGAGCTTCGGGAATTTGCGAGGACACACAACAAGGTGTTTGCAGTTGTACAGCAACAGGAAGTAGAAAGAAACTGAAATTTCTCTATCAATATAAAGATCATGGGGGCCAGTCTTCTCTAAAGTAACAGTGGACAGAATAGGTCCTGCTGGAATTTTTGAGGTACAATAAGCAATGATTGCATGCAAGGATTGATTTTTACTAATTACCCCACTTCAGTATGCAAGCAGCTGTTAACTACTCTAATGTTTGCATGACTGCGTTTTTTGAGATCCTGGAGTGTTTTACAAATGCTGATAAAGTTAACTGGTGAAAGAAGTCAAGATACAAAGGATAAATGACTAATGACCATATATGATCTGTGATCACACAACTCTCTTGTATTAGGACTGACAGTACTTTATATAATATTTTTCATGACACAAAAGGAAGTCATCATCTTTACCCTATAGGGCAGATGGAGACATCAAAGCAAGAGGAGGAAACTAGTTATTCCTCTTCCAATCTATTGACCCAAACTGTGTTTTTTAGAGAACATGGAATATGTGGCAGGCTATTTGAAGGAAAAAAAAATAAAAAAATTGTATCACCATTAACTGCAGATAAATGCAGATACATTCTAGTGAATATTTACTGAATTTCCAGGGAAAGTTAACAGGAAACTTTCTTTTTTAATTACCGAGTTTCACTTATGCTTTCAAGTCTTTTCCCTTAGATTCATAATGAAGTAGATATCTTAAATGCAGTAAGTAGATGGGAAAATGTTGTATTCATTTTCTTGAGAAAAAGCTGTCAATATTTAGCATGTTTGCTGAGAGTATCTAAGTAAAGCTGAAGACAGTATGATGAGCTGTTCTGCATCCCAGAGGTTCACTGCTCTTTCTGTGTTTATTTTCAGCTACTATAGGGCCCCCTAAAGTGAACAGCGTGACTGAAAGCTCTGACTCGCTTCTCATTAGTGTCACACCCCCTTTTGGATCCGAAGCAGGTGATTTTCTTCAGTATCATGTGTCCTACTGGGAGAACACAACAAGTACTACTAAAAAAGTAAGAATTCTCTCTAATTTATTTTGTTCATAATGCCTTTCTGACTAATAGATATAAGTCGGTGTCTCTTGGCAGAACGGCAGAAGTGGAGGAAGAAAACTAATGTAATTTTTTTTCTCTAGCAGTGAAGGTCACTATTTGGTGTCTTGAAAAAAGTTAATTTAGTCTTGGCACAAGTATTGCATGTATTACGAAACTTTCAAAAACATCTTTTTTTCCTTCATATGAAACGAAGGTTAAATCACATTGCAGATCAAGGGAGAGAATCCACAAAGTGTCAAAGGTGGCTTTAAAATGACATTTAGATTCCAAAGTTTGCTTAGGCAATTTTGAAAACTCTGAAATATCCTTCCTCCTTTCCTGTGCTGGGCTTGTCTGTGCTGGCAGCTTCAGTAACAGGCTGCTTTGGCCTGATGTCGCCTGTTCCTAGGGCAGAGAAAGGCAGAGTTATTAGAAACATGCTGGACACAGCTGGGATAAGCTGTCCCTGTTCGTACTGAGACTTAGAGGTGTTGGTCACATGCGCTTGTGCTGCTATCTGGGGCCCTGGTAATTATGTTCTGGACAGGCCAGCATTGTAGGGAGGGATTAAATCACATTTAAAAAAAAAAAAAAAAAAGAGGAAGAAGATTCAAAAGAACGTCATTCTAAAGTCAAATGTTTAAAAATCAGAAGCAGAAAAAATATATTTAAAAAACCCTTTTGTTTCAAAGACCTTGCTAAATCTGAAACGCCTCCACTTCCTTCCTCTCTTGCACCAATGTGTATTTTTCTGACATATGTAAAATACCTTCTTGTTTGAGATTCAGGCAAGAAGTCACTCTTGTATGCTTCTGTAGGCTTCACTGAGGCCCTTATCCTAGCGCCTTACAGGTTAAAAATTCCCAGAAGACTATGGTGGCCGTGTGGAGACTGTGGAGGTTTTGCACTGCCCATCAGCTGTTTTCCTCTTCAGTAGAAGGAACTGAGATGGTGGAAGCTCTTCACTGAACCACACTTCTGTCAGCTTCCTCTGATGGTGGAGACACTTCCCATGGCTTGTTTTTCCCTCCCCCTTCCTGTATTGTGCTCACTGTCACAGTGAGCTGCGTCAAAGCCTCCAGCAGCATATTGTGGATAAAATGAGACCTTGCATCAGTTTTCATGCCTCTGCTGTTCGTGCCCTTACAGATGGTTTTAAATGGTGTAGGTTTAATTTCATTTAAAAATAATGAGATTTGAAATGCATTCAAGTAGGAAAGTTGAAATATATTTCACTGTTTCTCTTGTTTGGGAAGGCTGAATTATGAAGAATAAAATCTGTGCTTTTTGAATGAGAAACGTAAATATGGGGAGGGGATTTGTGTTGAAGACAGGTCTGGTTTTTACAGTAACTTTTTTTTTGTGTCTTTTAAACAGGTGATAAAGACAAGCAGTACACTATTCAAAATCAAAAGTCTAAAGGAATGGACACTTTATTGTTTTGAAATTCAAGTAGAATTGATGACACATTCAGATCTCCATTTATTTGGACTGCAAAGCATCCCAGAGTGTTACAGAACTAAAATTAGCGGTATAAACCTGACTTTTGTTATCTTTTGTATATAATGGGATGAGCGTAATACACGAGTCTTAAATCGTGTAACTGGTCACTTACATACGTGTATCTGTCAGGAGTGCTAAGAGCATCACTTATAGTAGTTCACAATTGTCATTAATGGCAAAATAATAAGGAATTTTTCAGTCAGTAATTGAGGGCCTGTGTTGTACTTTTTCCCCTCATCCTTTCCTTCATAAATACAGCTATGGGTATTACTTTCTAGAAGTATGCAAAGAAAGAACATACAAATACTTGGTCTTTAGAGGAAGTCATTGATGAAGGAGGTGGTGTTACTCTTGCAAATCTCCCTCAGCCACTGCCTCCTGCAGGACAGGAACATCCCTTTCCTCTTCGACCTGCTTCCTTCTCTGCATTTTGAGCTGCGTGGTTTTGTATGAGATAAGAGAGAGGGTGAGGGGAAGAGAAAGCATGTGCAAGATAGTGGACTTTGTCCCTCTCTTGAATCTCTCCGTGTGACCACCAACACACAGGCACAACCGATCTTTAGCATGCTACACTGGAAGACATGTAGATGAAACCTGCTTACGCAGTTTCTGAAGCGCCAGAGGAGCTGACCTCCTGGGGTAGTAGTGACCGAGTATTTGATCGCAAGCCCCTGAGCTGTGATGTTGGAGTCTATGATGCTCCTTTGCTGGAGAAGTGCATGTTCTGAAAGAGAAGCCCCTGGCATTAATGGCCCTTGCTGGCAACTTCAGGGTGGAAGCACAGATTGCATTCCCCGCCTGCCCCCTGCCTGCCAGCAGGGATTCCTCCAGCTCTGCATTTGCCCTGCTAGTGTGTCAAGTAGCTTGGCTTAGGCTGCGTGATTAAGGGACAGGAGCTCATGGGAGTTGGTGACTTCCACAAGGAATCACAAAACAAGCTACTTCTGAACACAGGTGTTTCAAGTGCATCTATAGTAGGGTTGTGATCCTAGCCTTGGAAATTATACTTTGATTACCAAGTATAGTAAATTTCAGCTTACTGTATACTTTTACATTTGATGATGTATAAATATGAACCTGTCATATGTATATGGTTTTTGTTTTTTTTCTTTTTCAGAGGCAACCAGAGCTGGATATATTATACTAATATTTGTGTTGGTGTTACTTTTTGTAAATCTGGTAGCAGTTGGTTTGTTTCTTCTGTGGAGACACCACAAAACAATTAAATATTGGTCTCGGCCACCTTTAGAAATCCCATCACACTTTGAAGAGGTATGTATAGGCATTTTATATTTCTCCCCCTTGCCCCCTCCCCCTGTAAAAGACAGTGATGATCTTGGAGTGACTATGAACAAAGCTAGTTGTTGCATAACAGAAATAGATATAAAAAATTGTTGACTTAGTGTAAACTGTTACTTTTCTCATATGGGATCTCCCACTTTATTCCTCTTTTACTCAACTGAATTATTTTTTTCTCTGCCTTAAGATACAAATGTTACAAAATCTGAGTAAGATTTTTTTGTTCCTTGACTACCCTTTGTCCACCCATTACTTTGCTTATCTAAGTCACCAGGCCTGAAACAGTTGCTCACTTTAAGCAAAAAGCTTTTGTGTGCTGCAGGACATGTACTTGGGACCTAGGTCTCTGATTAGATCAAATACGGAAAAGCGAACACTGATAGTTTTAAGAGCAAGGACTGACATGAAGACTAAGGGCTACCTAGGGGAATGCTCTTGGGCTTTTTCTTTTTTTTGCTGTAGGTTTAGCAATACTCGGATGAAAAAGTCATCCTGGGACTTTTTTCTCCTTGTAGCTCACACATTTCTGTACTAAACGATATTGTTTCAGTCCTGTTCATCTTCCTCTTTTTAGTATTGAAACAGGAAGTAGTCTTTACGTGAAGTTCTTGATTTAAAAATTCTTGTTCAGCATGCATTTTGTATTTTTAAAAGCTTGTATTTGTTTGCAGTTCTTTGAGGTGTATTTCTTTGTATATACCTGCATGTCAGAGTAGTCCATTTCACTATGGTAGTTCTGTGATTGTGGAGCTGGTTTTCCAGATTTTTATAGACGTATGGGTGAAGGAACCCAGACTTTCTGCAGAGCCCCTAGTAAATAATTTTCTCTCTTCATGCTACCTCAGCTACCGTTTCATGGGGGCTCAGTGGAGACAGCTGTATCACATATCAAGAGAAGTGTATCTCATGTAGGAGAAAAAAAATCCTTGTACAGTATACTAAAATAGTGCAGCATTCCATGCAAAGGACTTGCAAGAATAGGGTCTGTCATCGTGTTCTGGAGTAATTGTATTAATCTGGAAAATATGCAGCAAAAGTAGATACTCTTGAACAATAGTGAGCCTGGTTTTGGGCAAAACACTGATAAGAAATGAAGGAAAATCAGTATATATGCAGAATTTTGAAAATGTGTATTTCTAACAGGGATCAACCAGCCTGAGGCTTCTCCTCTGTAAAACACTTCCCATGAGTACAGAGTACCAATTATTTTAAAAATCTTCTACATTTTCAGAAAAATTACGTTTCCTTCTTTTACAGAAAGATCTCAGCTTTCAAAGTCTTGAGTTGTAGGGAACAGTTCTACCGCAGAAATGCCTTCACAGAGCAAAGTCAAACTGAGGTTCATTTATGTCTTGACTCTGCTAAAGTGGATGTATTTGAGGTTCCCATATGAAACGTTTGGTTTTAATACACCTGAAAAAATAATCCTGTTGCCCATTAGCCTTGCTATGATTACAGAGAAAGTGGTGCCTTAATTGAAACTAAGGTTCATTTTGTCCCACAACAGACATGACTTGAGCTGTGGTCCCATCTCAGCCAGATTATGACACCTCCTACAGTACAGAACAAGCTTTTGAGTAAAATGACAAGCTATGTTTTAACAATGTGAAGGTGTCTGTGTTCCGGACATTTTTTTTTTTTAAATTTTTTTAATCAGGATAAAAATGTTCAATGGCAGATTTTATTTTTTGGTTCAGTACATGAAGTGATGGATGGCTCCAATCCTCTGTGAAATACAAGATCAGCTTAGTGATAAGGAGAGTATATGGAGGTGGCAGGAGGAACAGAAAGCATTTTCTCTGGCCTACATTTTATGCATTCATTGTAAAGCTGATGACTTAATTTTGGAGGAAAGGGGAGCAGAGGGGAAGTCAAAGCAAAAAGTAACTACAAGAGAAGGATGCCACTAGAGTTTTCTGGTAATGGTAAAAGATGCAGATCCGAGTTGCCTAACACTGATTAAACCAGAATCTTAGATATTGTTTGTGCCATCAGTGCTTTAGGCAAGCTGTCAGTTGCTAGATTCCTGCAGTTGGAGAATATGTCCCCAGCAGTGTAATAAAGAAGTGTTTTCTTCTGTGGTTTGTTCTTAACTAGTAGGAATTTGCTTGAACGGACATGAAAAGAATATTGGCCAAAATTTATTTAAAAAAAACAGGAAATGCAGATGGCTTTAACTCACTTAAATGGATGTTTGCATGATTGATATTCCTGCCCCTCCCCCTGGAAATAAGGTGGGAAACTTTTTCCTTAAAACTAACTTTTTCCTTGTTTGATGTAATTTCAAGGAAATCCAGAATAGAATATATATTTAGCAGCTCTCACTGTGAATTCTAGACTGAAGCAACTTGCCTATAGGTGGTGGTACCTGCTCTGCTGCTGTAATTTCTAATACATCTGTTCTGTGGATAGATATCTAAACTGTTGTTTATGCCTTTTTCCAGTATTTGAAGGACCCTAGCATGCCTGTTTTAGAGGTGTTGGACAACTATGCTGAGGACGATCCCCATGATTCCTTATCTGTTGTATTTTGTGGAGAAGGAAGCCAAGCCTGTGGCCGCAGTTTGGATGGTCAAGCTCATTCACACAGCATCTCCAGTGACAGTGAAGTAACTTAAATGGCACCCTAGTGAGAGTGCCTGTACCAAGTCCTTGCAGAGGCTCCTGCCCATGAGCTCCTCCCCTGTGGCTGCTGGCAGGACAGATGAGCTCTGGGCAAAATGCAGCCACTGACAATCCTAAGCAAGATGTTGCTTCCTGGGAATAGTGTGGACCCTGAGCCTTTGTTTAAATGGCTTCTGCTGTGCTACAACAGCAACTGTATTCTGCCAAAGAGACTTAAAAGGTGGAACGTGAAAGGGAAATGAACACTAAATTTTGCCTGAAGAAAGACAGATGGTTATAAAATGGTTATATTAACATCATCGTATTTCCCACCCCAAATTGAAATAAAGCTTTGAGAAATAATAGCACTTTACGGTAGGAAGTAGTACAACCTGGAATTTTTCAGTAAGTGAATAATTGCACCATGAATTACTTTTATAGTGGCTTTTATTTTGTTGCCTTATTTGTGAAGTCCATGTTAGCACTCAACATCTATTATATCCACCCCAGTATGTTTTTCTGAATTGTTTTAAGTGTGTGTGGTTTTCTATGGCAGCTTCTTCCCTCTGGATAAAAATGGCAGCCTAAAGAGAAATTTGATAGTACTTCACCCTCCTCAGCATGAACCTGTGCAAAGAACTGCTCCAAGAAAGGCCTCCTGATATCTGCCTCCTAACGTGTTTGTGAGAAGCATTAATCTTCTGCTCCTGCAGTGAGACAATCATTCGTCACAGCAAAACAAACTTTAAAATAATTTTGCTCAGAATTTATATAACATGTATCAGTAATTATTAGACACTAAAATCTCTTGTTGACTATCAGATTAGTCCTGCAAATGAAAAGTTGACTGAGGGTTGTGTTTTGAGTGGGTCTTTTAAAGCAGAAGCAGAAGACTACAAGTTAAGCCTCACATCACAATCCTGTGGGGTCTGGAAGGTGTCTAATAAAGCACAAAGAACAAACAAACCACTTCTGTACTAAAATGATTGTTTTTATTTGACTTTTTTCCTGGGTTTGATACAAGTTGTTTAAAAAAAAAAAAAGAAATATGCTTGTTTATTTGCAAATGACTTGTTCAGGTTACTTAGGTCTGTTAATGACCCTGGTCACTGACAGAGCTGTGTGTTATCTGAGGTAATGCTGTTCCACCCCTTCCAGGAATACACCAGACTAGCATGAAAAATCAGTAACATTTTTTTCCAAAAGCTTCATGAGTTTGTTTCCTTGTAAACTAATCTCATCACTTGTGATTAGGCAACATGCCAAGACAACATAGTTATCTATCTGAAGACTTAGTCATACTTCAAGTCTGGTAAGAATTTTCAAGTCAGCCACAAGCTGCATAATACCTGCGTTTAAGTTCATCCATGTTCTTTTTATGTACTGTGCTGTAAACAAATGAACCACTACAGGCTCACAAAAGGAACAACCTAAATGCATGACAGAGGACATAAAGAAGGCAGCAGTTAAAAACATACTCTGTGAATAGTCAGCAATACAGCATACAACTTCCTGAATAAGCTCTACACTAGACTTCTGTTAGGGATAGTTGTTACTAAATATTTTTAGTTACACAAATAGGCCAAAGTTAAAAACCTTTTGTTAGGAGTAACTCGAGGGTTATCTTTGCAACTACCAACTGTAGCAGGCCAAGGCATTGCCTGAAATGAGCCATCCTTGTCCACCTTGGCCTGCACTGGAACTACCTGTGGTGTAAAAGTGGACCTCAGGCTACCTTGAATGAAGGCTGCATGGTTCTTTTTTACCACACCTGTTATCAGCTTAGGCTACTGAAAGAGACACATGCTCGAAGCTGTCTCTTTTCTCCTCTTACCAGCTGTGTAGAGAGCATGACTGTTCCAGTTCTCTAAAACCAGACGGGACAGTCAAGAAGTACTTACAAGAAAGCAAACTTCTAGTAGAAAATGCAGGGAACCTCAGAAAGAGCTCTTGCCCTGCTCTTAAGAAAACTCTTTTAGCCAGGAACTTAGATTAAAGCGCTCTTAAAGAGTTCTTCCAGAGTCAAACACTTAGCTTGTGCTGTTCAACTGTCAGGTGCAAGATACTGTAAATGGGATTAGTTACAGGCCACACGTTTCTCACTTAGTAAAAAAGCCAGCAAACATTCCAAAGCTCCTAAGCAAGAAGCCACCACACCTGAAAACACAAGCCTTGGTTAAAGGTCAGTACTACTTGAGCTATTGAGTACTACTGTACAATTAATTACCTTGTGAAGTTCACTATTTTGAGAATGTAAGATAAAGTTTATTGCAGTTTTTCTGAAGTTACGACCAAACAGACAACTTACTTATGTACAAAGCTATGATTAACACCAGTGAATATATCGTAACTCACTGCAGGATGGTAAAATCGGGATGAAGTTAGTCTAGCCAGTAGCACAATTTCAGCTGCAGTATTTGCTTCATATTCTGTCCACTGGAGAGATTCCCACAAGGGAGCAATTAGATGACTAACAGTATACAGTAACCATGCACAGAAGTTACATTCTGCAGTTTAATACCATTTGGTCAGCAATCTTGATACAGAGAAAGTTATAAAAGCTTGTAGACACAACGTAGATTCAAATGCTTTAAAAACCACATAGAACTCATAAGATAAGGAAGTCACCAACAGCAAAATGAATATACCAGATCAGTCCAAAGCTGTACAACATCATTGTTCTCCCCTTCTGTATACTCCAGCTAGAAGAAACAGGATCTCAATAATAGAAGCATTCAATAAAGTGCCCATGAAACTTAGGAGATAAATACATCTTAACTGGGGCAAATGGCAGTCCTAAAACAGGCAATTATTCCAAGGTAAGATTGTGAGCAATAAATACATCTGCTATATCCCCACTTGAAATGCTTGCCTTTTAAATAGAAAAGGTAATAGGTAACAGGGTAACTGTTCATTTATCAGCAAAAAGCTTCCCCTGAAGAAAATTATGCTAGCCTAATTTTAGAGATGTTAGACTGACTCTCATTTAGTCTTTATATTCCTTAAGTATAACTGGCATTGGTTTGTCTATTTTTTTGAAATTCTAATATCAGTAA